TCCCCCCCGCCATCCCCGGCGGCCAGCCTGTCTGTCCAACACACAGCCCTGGATGCTCGCCCCTGCCTGTCTGCCTGTCTGTGATGGCTGTCTGTCTTTCCCCAGGGCCACCCCGGTCTGATTGGTCTGATCGGACCCCCGGACCCCCGGGGGGAGAAAGGAGACCGGGGCCTGCCTGGCCCACAGGGCTCCCTGGGGCCGAAGGGAGAGAACGTGAGTATAGTGGGGGGGTGTCACTGCAATACCCCCTCCAGAGACCCCTGGCATGTGGGGGGCAGTTGGTGCTGGGGGGCAGGGGCCAGGACTCATGGGTTCCCCCCCAGCACTGTGAAGGGAGTGGGCGCTGGTGGGGTTGGGTGGGGGGTGTCTGGGAGCCAGACCTCCTGGGTTCTAATCGCTGCTCCAATGGTGTCTCGGGGGGGGGGGGGGGGGGGGGGGGCAGGACGGGTCGGCCGCCCTTCCGGCCTCAGGTCATCACACAGCTGGAAGGAGCGCCTGTCCTAGAAGTGTCGGGAGTACACCCGGTGCTAGGACGGGTCGGCCGCCCTTCCGGCCTCAGGTCATCACACAGCTGGAAGGAGCGCCTGTCCTAGAAGTGTCGGGAGTACACCCGGTGCTAGGACGGGTCGGCCGCCCTTCCGGCCTCAGGTCATCACACAGCTGGAAGGAGCGCCTGTCCTAGAAGTGTCGGGAGTACACCCGGTGCTAGGACGGGTCGGCCGCCCTTCCGGCCTCAGGTCATCACACAGCTGGAAGGAGCGCCTGTCCTAGAAGTGTCGGGAGTACACCCGGTGCTAGGACGGGTCGGCCGCCCTTCCGGCCTCAGGTCATCACACAGCTGGAAGGAGCGCCTGTCCTAGAAGTGTCGGGAGTACACCCGGTGCTAGGACGGGTCGGCCGCCCTTCCGGCCTCAGGTCATCACACAGCTGGAAGGAGCGCCTGTCCTAGAAGTGTCGGGAGTACACCCGGTGCTAGGACGGGTCGGCCGCCCTTCCGGCCTCAGGTCATCACACAGCTGGAAGGAGCGCCTGTCCTAGAAGTGTCGGGAGTACACCCGGTGCTAGGACGGGTCGGCCGCCCTTCCGGCCTCAGGTCATCACACAGCTGGAAGGAGCGCCTGTCCTAGAAGTGTCGGGAGTACACCCGGTGCTAGGACGGGTCGGCCGCCCTTCCGGCCTCAGGTCATCACACAGCTGGAAGGAGCGCCTGTCCTAGAAGTGTCGGGAGTACACCCGGTGCTAGGACGGGTCGGCCGCCCTTCCGGCCTCAGGTCATCACACAGCTGGAAGGAGCGCCTGTCCTAGAAGTGTCGGGAGTACACCCGGTGCTAGGACGGGTCGGCCGCCCTTCCGGCCTCAGGTCATCACACAGCTGGAAGGAGCGCCTGTCCTAGAAGTGTCGGGAGTACACCCGGTGCTAGGACGGGTCGGCCGCCCTTCCGGCCTCAGGTCATCACACAGCTGGAAGGAGCGCCTGTCCTAGAAGTGTCGGGAGTACACCCGGTGCTAGGACGGGTCGGCCGCCCTTCCGGCCTCAGGTCATCACACAGCTGGAAGGAGCGCCTGTCCTAGAAGTGTCGGGAGTACACCCGGTGCTAGGACGGGTCGGCCGCCCTTCCGGCCTCAGGTCATCACACAGCTGGAAGGAGCGCCTGTCCTAGAAGTGTCGGGAGTACACCCGGTGCTAGGACGGGTCGGCCGCCCTTCCGGCCTCAGGTCATCACACAGCTGGAAGGAGCGCCTGTCCTAGAAGTGTCGGGAGTACACCCGGTGCTAGGACGGGTCGGCCGCCCTTCCGGCCTCAGGTCATCACACAGCTGGAAGGAGCGCCTGTCCTAGAAGTGTCGGGAGTACACCCGGTGCTAGGACGGGTCGGCCGCCCTTCCGGCCTCAGGTCATCACACAGCTGGAAGGAGCGCCTGTCCTAGAAGTGTCGGGAGTACACCCGGTGCTAGGACGGGTCGGCCGCCCTTCCGGCCTCAGGTCATCACACAGCTGGAAGGAGCGCCTGTCCTAGAAGTGTCGGGAGTACACCCGGTGCTAGGACGGGTCGGCCGCCCTTCCGGCCTCAGGTCATCACACAGCTGGAAGGAGCGCCTGTCCTAGAAGTGTCGGGAGTACACCCGGTGCTAGGACGGGTCGGCCGCCCTTCCGGCCTCAGGTCATCACACAGCTGGAAGGAGCGCCTGTCCTAGAAGTGTCGGGAGTACACCCGGTGCTAGGACGGGTCGGCCGCCCTTCCGGCCTCAGGTCATCACACAGCTGGAAGGAGCGCCTGTCCTAGAAGTGTCGGGAGTACACCCGGTGCTAGGACGGGTCGGCCGCCCTTCCGGCCTCAGGTCATCACACAGCTGGAAGGAGCGCCTGTCCTAGAAGTGTCGGGAGTACACCCGGTGCTAGGACGGGTCGGCCGCCCTTCCGGCCTCAGGTCATCACACAGCTGGAAGGAGCGCCTGTCCTAGAAGTGTCGGGAGTACACCCGGTGCTAGGACGGGTCGGCCGCCCTTCCGGCCTCAGGTCATCACACAGCTGGAAGGAGCGCCTGTCCTAGAAGTGTCGGGAGTACACCCGGTGCTAGGACGGGTCGGCCGCCCTTCCGGCCTCAGGTCATCACACAGCTGGAAGGAGCGCCTGTCCTAGAAGTGTCGGGAGTACACCCGGTGCTAGGACGGGTCGGCCGCCCTTCCGGCCTCAGGTCATCACACAGCTGGAAGGAGCGCCTGTCCTAGAAGTGTCGGGAGTACACCCGGTGCTAGGACGGGTCGGCCGCCCTTCCGGCCTCAGGTCATCACACAGCTGGAAGGAGCGCCTGTCCTAGAAGTGTCGGGAGTACACCCGGTGCTAGGACGGGTCGGCCGCCCTTCCGGCCTCAGGTCATCACACAGCTGGAAGGAGCGCCTGTCCTAGAAGTGTCGGGAGTACACCCGGTGCTAGGACGGGTCGGCCGCCCTTCCGGCCTCAGGTCATCACACAGCTGGAAGGAGCGCCTGTCCTAGAAGTGTCGGGAGTACACCCGGTGCTAGGACGGGTCGGCCGCCCTTCCGGCCTCAGGTCATCACACAGCTGGAAGGAGCGCCTGTCCTAGAAGTGTCGGGAGTACACCCGGTGCTAGGACGGCTAAGCCACCCTTCCGGCCTCAGGTCATCACACAGCTGGAAGGAGCGCCTGTCCTAGAAGTGTCGGGAGTACACCCGGTGCTAGGACGGCTCAGCCACCCTTCCGGGCTCAGGTCATCACACAGCTGGAAGAAGCGCCTGTCCTAGAAGTGTCGGGAGTACACCCGGTGCTAGGACGGGTCGGCCACCCTTCCGGCCTCAGGTCATCACACAGCTGGAAGGAGCGCCTGTCCTAGAAGTGTCGGGAGTACACCCGGTGCTAGGACGGGTCGGCCGCCCTTCCGGGCTCAGGTCATCACACAGCTGCCCCTGGAGTGATGAGCTGGGTGCAGACGAATGGAGGGACCCCCAGGGCCCTCTCTGCAACCCCTGGCTCTCTCTGGGGGACGGTACCTCCCAGGATGGAGTTGGTCACAGGAGGAAGTCACCTGGCGTGTGTGACGCGGTCCGTAGCAGCCCTGGCCCCCTTCTGGTCTGACCGTTCCCAGGGACAGGCCTGAGGTGCGGATCGGCCCCACTCGAGGTGCATTGTCAGTCAAGGGCGGCTCGTCCCTGGGCTGGCCGTGCGGCCGCGCTAGGTGGGGGAACCTGTAGGTAGCTCCCAGAGGCAAACGCTTGGATTCTCAGTACAGACCAATGCTCGTAACCTGAAGCAGACGAATGAGCCAATGGACAGAACCAGCAGAGCATCGGCGTTGGGTGGACTCCGCTCTTGGCCCCTGTGCACACAATGGGATGCAAACACACAACCGTGGGGGTGACAATGTTCACATGCAAAATCCAGCCATGGCGCTCTGGGATGAACTGGGGGGTCTTGTTCTCCCTGTAAGTCCACGCTCTCTTCTCGTTCCTGCAGGGGATCCCTGGTGCGACTGGCCCCATTGGTCCTGCTGGCCCCCCGGGACTTCCCGTGAGTGACCTTCGACCTTCCTCTGTGACCCACCCCTTCCCCTGCCTCCCCTCCCCTGAGAGGCACCTGTCCCCCACCTTCCCCATCTGAGTCTTACCTATAAGGGGGCTGCCTCATTGCCTGCCCCTCACCAGTGTCCCCCCCCAGCCCCCCGTGTCTCTGATTGTCCCGTGGTTGCTTTGCAGGGCCCAGAAGGTCCCAAGGGAGCGAAGGGAGCCACAGTAAGTTCTGACCACGCAGCCCCGTCATGGGGTGCCCTGCGCCCCCCGCCCCCTCAGCCCTGCAGGCAGCTGATGCCTCTGTTCTCTCCCCCAGGGACAAGCCGGCCCCAAGGGCGAGCGAGGTGTCCCTGGCTCCCCCGGACACCCGGTGAGTGACCCCCCTCCCTTCTCCTTGACCTGCTGCCTGGCTCTGCCTGTCCCTACGCTCCGCCTGCACCCTCCATCCCTTGCTCATGGGGCCATCTCCCTTCCCAGTTTGGTTACTTGCCTGCTGTCTGCCCTGCCCGGCCTCAGCCCTTGTCCAGCCACCTCTCCTGCCCCATCTACTCCCCCATCTTTCATCTGCTCCTCCTCCCTCCTGTCCTCCTGCCCCACCTCCTGCCCCAGCTGCTCCACCATGTTTCCTCTGCTCCTCCTCCCTCCTGTCCTCCTGCCTTGCCTCCTGCCCCATCTGCTCCCCTATCTTTCCTCTGCTCTTCCTCCCTACCGTCCTCCTGCCCCTGCCCACTTCCCCATCTCTCCCCTTTCTCCCCTCCACCCGCACTCAGTGTCCTGCCTTCTGCCCTGTCTTCCTCCCACCCTCTACCCCACTTACCGTACTCTGCTGGAGCAGGGAATAATCATTTCTGGGGGCCTGGCTGAAAGGGTCAAACCTGGGTGAATTGCTTAGAACCAGGGCTGCTCCTGCAGGCTATATGTAGACCACAAGCCTCTTTCAAAAAAGCGTGTCTAGACTCCAGGCAGCACTTCTGGAAAAGCCAGGCAGTCTGGGTGCTCTCTTTCCAGAAAAGCCCAGTTTGCATTGCATAGCGCCTTGTTTCCAAGGAGCACTTTCGAGAAAAGGCATCATTTCTCGTAAAACGAGGTTTTTCGTGGTCAAAAAAACCTGCCACCGTCTTTCAATTTGCTTTCTAATGAACGCAGCAGCAGTCTAGATGCAGGGGAGATTTTTTTTTAAAAAACCCTTGTAGTCTAGACACACCCGCAGTGATGAGCTAAGTGATGACCAAGATGGAGGAGTCCCCGGGCCCTGGCCCACGTGGGGGGAACCCCCTTGCTCTATCTAGGAGAAGGCACCTCCCAAGATGGAGCTTGTCACAGGAGCATGGCGCCGGTCCGTGCGTGACTCGGTCCTTGCTGGGCTGGAGGGTCACAGCGACACCCCTCGGACGTGGATCGGCCCCACTCGAGGTGCATTGTCAGTCAAGTGCTGCGGGTCGCCTTGCCCAGTGGGCGGGCGAGGGCTGCAGCCGGGTCTCAGATGCAGACGTTTAAAGGATCCTGGCAGCGCCCGTCCCCCTAAGGACAGTGACCCAAATCCCACGAGCCACGTAAACACTCAGCAAGGCGGAAGCTCTCACCTGGCCCGCTCTGCACGAGGCGTGGGGTGGGCACCCCGCAGGGAGTGGGGAAAGCTCTGCCTGGCCACACCCCAAATCCAACCCCTCACACAGGGCCCCCCCGGGGAGGTGATCCAGCCCCTGCCCATCCAGCTGCCCAAGAAGAGCAAGCGTTCGATCGACGCCAGCCAGCTGGTGGGCGAGCAGGGGGAGGAGATGGCGGCGGACGAGGCCCACGGCCCCACGGGCAGTGTGGACGCCATCTTCGGCTCCCTCACCTCCCTCCTTCACCCCAAATCCAACCCCTCACACAGGGCCCCCCCGGGGAGGTGATCCAGCCCCTGCCCATCCAGCTGCCCAAGAAGAGCAAGCGTTCGATCGACGCCAGCCAGCTGGTGGGCGAGCAGGGGGAGGAGATGGCGGCGGACGAGGCCCACGGCCCCACGGGCAGTGTGGACGCCATCTTCGGCTCCCTCACCTCCCTCCTTCGTCCCAGGGTGCTGCTGGGAGCCATGCTGCAGGGAGTGGGGCGGAGATAATGGGGGTCTCTCCCCAGAAGGCAGGGCTGCCCCATTGCCTCAGGGGTCATTAAGGGGCAGGGAGTGGGGTGGAGGCAGTGGGGTCTCTCCCCTGGCAGGCAGGGCTGTCCCATGGCCCCAGGGGGGAGCTAGGGGGCAGGGAGTGGGGTGGAGGTGGCAGGGGGCTCTTCCCTGGCAGGCAGGGGTACCCCATGGCCCCAGGGAGGTGCTGGGGGGCAGGAAGCAGGGTGGTGGTAGTGGGGGGCTCATCAGTGTTTGGTCCTGCCATGGGGGCAGGGGACTGGACTTATGACCTTCTGAGGTCTTTTTCAGCTCTATGATTCTATGATGTGGAAGGTAGTGTGCAAATCATCCAATGTCCCTGTTCATACCATTTGTATAAGAATTAAACTTGTGAATGAAGTTCCAACTCTTCTCTGTGTATTTGCCTTGTGGAATTGGCCTGAAACAAAACGGTAACTTGGAGATCCATTAATGAGTGTCCAGGCAGGTTAAAGTGTTCTCCAACAGGTTTCTGTGTGCTGCCTTTTCAGATATCTGATTTGTGTCCATTAATTCTTTCCAGTATATATTGGCCAAACTGGACAATCTCTATTGCAGTAGGGCATTTGATGGCATAGAACACATTAGTGGATTTGCAGTTAAATGAGCCTCTGATTTAGTGGCTGATGTTGGGTTGATGTAGGGATGAAATCGCTAGTGTAGATGCGTGGGCAGAGTTGGCACCGGAGTTGGTTGCAGGGGTGGGTTCCTGGATGATTATGATGGAGGTGTGTTGCATGGTTACTAGAAAGAATGTGTTTCAGGTTAGGGGGTTGTCTATAGGTGAGAAGTGGCCTTTCCCCCAAGACCTCAGAGTGAGGGGTCATTTTCCAGAGTAGGTTGTAGATTGTTGATAATGCGTTGGAGGGGTTTAAGTTGTGGACAAGTGGAATTCTGTTGTTTTCTTTTTTGGGGAGTATCTTGAAATAGTTCATGTCCCTGTGAAATTCTTCAAGGGTCTCTTTCCTGTGGATGCATATGACGAAGATGTCATCAATGTAGAGAAAGGGTTTTAGAGGGCAAGAGCTGAGGAAACGTTGTTCAAGGTCAGCGGCAGGCAGCTGGAGGGGGAGTTTAGCCCCTGCCTCGACCCCAGCTCCCAGCTGGGTGCCGTGTGCCTGGGGCGCCCCCGAGACCCGTCTCTCTGTGTCTCCCCTGCCAGGTCAAGATGTCTGCGTGGGAGGGGGAGACGCCATTGCACTGGTTCAGCCAGTTCCGGGAAGGCAGCAAGGTGAGTGCCGGGCGGGGCTGCTGGGGATCCGGCCCCCCAGTAACGCAGCTTGTGGGTCTCGTACGTAGCCCTGAGCAGGGCTGCCTCTGAGCCGTGCGGCCCCACAGCTGCCTGATCAGCCCCACCCAGGGGCTCAGAGCTGCCATGCACCGAGATGCTGCGGGTTGGTGAGAGCTCCGCTCCGGCAACCCAGGGGCAGGCTGTGTTCTGGGCCAGCCCTTCCTTGGTGGGGAAGCAGCTGTGGGCCTCCATTCCCCCGTCTGGAGCCACCTCCTGCACCCCAAACACCTCAACATCTGCCCTACCCCGGAGCTCTCATCCCGCCAGCCCTGAGTTCCCTCCCACACCCCAAACTCCCACCGAGTCCCCACCCTGCCACAGATCATCCATGTGCACCCATACTGAGGTGATGCTTTGCATATCCCTGCGTGTTCCATGTCAGCCTTGTATTGGTGCATGTAACAAAATTCATTCCACACACGGACATAAGAAATTAGATGGACCCCTCTGAGTGAGCCCCAGAGATGGACCCCACCTGAGTATATGTGTGCAGATCCATTCTGCCCCCCCCTGGGTCCAACACCGGCCCCCCCGCTGGCACCTGGGGTGTGCAGGGGGGTCTTGGGTGATTACCCCCCTCCCATGGCTAATGTCCACACTTCCATCCTTCAAACTCCTCTGTCAGTCCTGGCCCCTCCGTGCCAGCCCCTGGGTGTATCTCTCTGGGTCTGGATCCTCACCTACCAGCTGCCTGGACTCTCCCTATCAGATCCACCCACCAGCCTGTCCTAGAATCAATTCATCCCTAGACCCATCTGCAGTGTCATCTGCCCCATTAGTCGCTTCTTTCATGCCTGTCCAGCCCCGAGTCAGATCCATGCCAGACTCTGGGAACGGGAGCCTGTCGTTAGCTCTGTCTATCCGTCTGTCCTCGGCTCTGCCCATCCATCTGTCCTTGTAGCTGTCCATTCGTCTGTCCTCAGCTCTGTCCATATGTTGATCCTTGGCTTTGCTTGTCCATTTGTCCTTGGCTCTGCCCATCTCTTACAGTCTTTGGTGCCCCCATGCCCTGAGTACAGACTCTGCTCCCCACCAAGTGCCCCCGACAGACCCTGCTCTTGGGAGCAGCAGGGGCTCCCCATACCTTGCCCCGAGTGGGGGGGTGCAGGGAGGTGGCTGCCACATGCCTCTCCCCCTAATGGTGTCCCTCCCCCCAGTTCTCCTC